CTTAGGGCCGACAATTTTGGTTCGGATGAAGCTGCATGCGGTCATGTCGACTGTAGCTACAATTGTTTAGCTGCAAAAGGGGCGTGTGGCTGATGGCGTCGGACATCGTATGTGGCCTATTTGTGACCACATTTTTGTGTCCATGAAGAGGGACGTGTCTACTACCACTTGTCGCCGCGTTGTCGCTTGGACGCCTGCGAGCTGCGAGGTAGGCCACGGCTTCTCTCTAAGGCGTCTGTCGTGATGGGGACTTTGGGTTTAGGCTCCTTTTGACCCCAGACTCATAAATCCTTTCTAAAGCTAAGAAGTGAGGCCGTGTCAATCTAGGCGTGGGTCGATGATTGTCGCTGAAAACGCCTGGAGGGTAGGCAATGCTTCCCTGAATTGGCTCCCCGCGGCCCCCTGTCCCTCCGAGCGCTTGGACAAGGCGAGAGCTTCGGAGAGGCATTGATCTATTTCGTTTTCGGTTTAGTTCTTAGCGCTGTTTAGTTCTGGTTGATATTCTAGCATTGGCGGGAGTAATGAATTCGTCTATAGACGGTTCAGTTTAAGCTGACTCAAGCACTGTCGGCTGTAGCTACAATCATGTAGCTACCAACAGGGACGTCTAGGGGACCAGTGCTCCCAGCGGTCTCGGTGCACTAAAGTGGCGGTCGCCATCCTCATAGGGTACTCTTAGGGTATCGCGCTCTTAGGTTGTATCTCTACGTCAACACCGCAAGGACACCCACCCTCATGTCTGTCTGTTTGTCTCTCTCTCAGAGTCACGACTGGCGCTAGCCATCTCGCCTCGAGTGTACGCGACAATGCAGATGACTATTTAATCAATCAATTACTTGAGGAGAGGACTCTCTGGTCAAAACTTGGACATTAGTCCAAGGTCAACACCTAGCAGTCTAGCGGTGTGTCTGAAGTCAGAAGCAACAATAAAACTTGATTTTCATTCTTTATTTTGAGGGTTCATATGTAAAATCACATCTTAATTTATGAAGAGTACAACAGCACTTTGTGTCCAAATGTTTGATGGTCAGAGTAACCTTCATTATTCTACCAGCCTCACATATTCAGTAAAAGACAAAAAATCAAAACAAATCTTATTCCTCCAGGAATAATTTGAGGACAATATTTAGCTTTCAACACCAACACCCCTGTAATCTATGGCTATTGGAAGAACCATACAAAAATTCCACAATCAGACAAGAATTCGGACAAATGACTAGCTGTGTGCAACATCGTCAAGTCATTTACACCTGTTTTTCTAGTTCATGGGACAGTCTTTGATTTCTTCTAAAATTAGGTACACATTTTTTGATGATGCAATTCACAAACAGAAAAGGCTAGCTAAAAACAGGTATGTGGTACACCCAGTGCGAAATGTTATATCAAAATATGAATTAGAAGACAAAAGCAATATCAAAATGATTTTGTTTTGACATCATTTTCACACTGCGTAGCTCACTTTTGATTTGTTGCTTCACAAAAACAATATGTCAACCAGCCATCAGAGAGTGATTCATAACACCAGTCAATGACGTTCAACAAATTGTATCCTTATAATTGTCAACAAAAAAATAGTTGGATTAAAACAAAAAGTACAAGTAATTGATTCAGTCTACTTTACTCAGTTAAAACTGTGCATAGAATTTGGATACATTCTGTAGATCAAAGCATAGAATCAAAAGTAGTAAGTGCAAAAAGCACATTTGCCAACTTCAAGAATTGTCATCTGATCACAGTAGATTATGATAGAAATATCACAGAAAGAGCAAAGAAAAAATAATTTGAGAAAGAAATGCACCCAGTATTCATGATGACGGAAATGACCTAATGTAAGACTATTAAGATTAAAACTTGCATCAACACAATTAATTGTTCAACACAAATTACACTCTCAAGGGCACAAGTTAACCATGCTTAGTTCAAAGGACAAACTGAGACAAACTTACACAGAATGCAAAGCTGTTGGTACAAATCCACCGAAAGTTCATGAAGTTATAAGATCAGCATTACAAACAGACATATATTCAGCTTTGATTGATTGTCAAAATTTATACGAAGTGATTCTACAAATTAATTCACCATGAATAACCTGAGGTACTATCAACGCAGAAATAATTGAACCCCTCTGATGTCGATATTCCAAGCACAGAGGGTTCAGTTCTTTCTGCAGTGATAGTACAAATAAATCTTTTTCTTCCATTACAGTAATTGTTGAGTTCATGTTGAGACAATTTTAACAATAAGAAAAAACTGGTGCAGCTTTGTACATTATATTCAAATTAAAATAAACAAGTACAGTACCTTATTAGTAGAGATGGGTCTTTCATCACTGCTCATACAAGATATCATAGTGTCCAGGTCTGTACAAGAGATGAACAGCTGGGGTAGCACCTTCGGGGAAATCATGCGCGATGACTTGAGCTGAATCACCCCTGTCCATATAGCGAACACGAACACCAACATTAAGAGCTGCACTTAATGCAATAATATGAATGTGGTCACTTTCCTTGAACATTGGTTCAACTTCCTAAAATTATAAGGAAGATTGAAATATAGATTAGTATAATTCTTTTTTGATCAAATAAAAACTAACTCACTTTAAAATATCCATATTTCTCACCTGATGACAGAATGCTGTCATTGTACGATTGCCATCAATGAAGTTTAGATAAAAATCAGCATCACGTTGTAGTTTACCAGAAGTAATAAGGCGCAGATAGACCACAATGTAATTTGACTGCCCTTGATTGTTGAAAAGCTCATAAAGCTCATCTTGGGTCATGTCGCCACTTCCAATTCGTTCCACCACTTCCATAAACTGTAAAATGAAAGAGGGAAGTTACATCACCTAATAATCAAAAGTAAAAGGCAGAAAGACTTTTTTGTTAGTAGCTATTAAAAAGTCAGTTCCAAAAGAACTTACAGTCTCATAAAAGTCCTCCAAAGTGAACTGTGGAAAACCAAGCTCAATCAAGTCATCCTTGCTTTTTGAAACTATGTCATAAAACCTGAGGGAAGGGCAAAATCAGAAAAAGAACATAACATGACCTACAATTAAGCAGCATGACTCATATAGAGTGTAAATTTTTAAATTTATCACTTACCCCTTATAATCATCCTTACAAGTGAGCAGACGTTCAAAGTAAGCATATGCAAATGCTCTGAAAAAGCAATTTCCATCTGGCCTTGTCCTTCTAATGCTGTTGTATTTACTAGACAGATCTTTTGCTTTCATTGAGTAAATTGGATCTGATATATACTCCTTTTCAAGTGTGCCTAGTAAATCTTCTTTGGCACCTACAAGCGGAATAGCGTCTGAGATCTAGGGAATGATAATTGACTTTTATTACAACATTGAATTAGTTTAAAGAAGTAGGTTGAAATGTAATATTAAAGTTAGTAGTACCTCCTCTTCAATTTGCCGCTGTTGCTCCATAATGAGTACATCCTGATTCACTTGGGCTTAAATAAAATGAAAATTAAAGTTAGAAAAGAAATGGCCTAAGCAAAATTTAAGACAGTAAGCAAATGAGATGACTTCTTACCATCCTTTCCATCAACCCGAGGCTCAGCTTCTCGAGTTGCGTCCCCCATGATTGTTGATCCAAGAGGAGAATTGGTACTGTCATAAAAATAATCACTATTAAAAATTGTGGTAGTTAAAAAATTAACCAAATACAATGAATGGCGTGAAGAAGGTGGATAGATATCATAAATGCAGTGAATCTTAAGTTTATTGATTGCAGAAGTACACATCCTTTGTATACGAATGTGACTTGAAGAATGCCAGTAAATAGAAAATTTAATACGATAATAAGATAATAGTGACCGACACATTATACCACACGGCACTTCAAATGCAAATCTATAGCAATTCCGTCGTTTAGCTATGCAATCCTGAAACGTAACCTTAAAATATAGAAACAGGGTCACTGTTTGGGGGCCGCAGGAATTTTGCATTGAACGACAAGAACTTAATAAAATTTGAATAACCGGCATTGCCTTACCTAGAAAATGTGCTTTGTCCAAAAATTAGAAGCCAAAACAGAGAAGTGGTCCAAAAAATGTATTTTTGCTCCGCTCGCCTCTGTTGGAATCCGAGAGACGTCAAAAACTCAACAACAACCAACAACAACAACGTAAGCCACCTGATAAAAGATAACGATCTTAAACAAATCCTTTATTTTACAAAACTTATCATTTTTAAGGGTGTTATATATTTTTTATTTTGAAAAAGGCTCACAAGATTCCTGCCAGGGAGGTTGTACAGACGTTTATTGCCAAGAAACGTCTTTGTGCAGGTGATGTAGGTTTGTCAAACTGAGAGCGGGAAAAGGAACCAAGTCCGATCGTGTCGCAACACCGAAACATACGAGAAAATTTGACGGAAATTGAATATACCTCACTGATAAACTAAGTGTTCAACTACTCAACACTTGTAAGTATGCAACTGCGAGTTGAATTCTTTCAAGTGTGCAAGTCTGTAGTTGTACACTTACATATGTTCAACTCGGTAGGTGTGCACTTGCAAGTGTGCAACTCCTCGGTTGAACACTTCCTTAGGTTCAACGCTCATTGTATAGGAAGTGCTCAACCGAGAAGTTGCACACTTGCAAGAATTTAACTTTCATAGTTGCACACTTGCAAGTGTTGAGCAGTTGAACACTTAGTTTATCAGTGCTGTATGTCTTTCTGCTCCACCGAACGCTTTTCCACAACGCTTTACGCCCTGACGTCACGCAAATGTCACACAAAAACGCTAACTGCAGGGGCGGACTGGGGGGTCAAGTGCCTGAACGTGTAAATTCAGCGTGGGGGCCCCGGCGTTATGTGGGTTGCCTACCTCGTAGGGGCAACAGTCAGCTAAATGGCATTTAGACAATGTGCCTTTGGTTGGAGTGTTTGAAGCCTGGGGGGGGGGGGGGGCCTCCGGGGCCCCAAGGGGCGAGTAGTTACGAAGACTTTTGTTCATAACTGCTTCCAAAATAGTACGCAGTAGAAGCATGCACAGGGAAATGCGTAAGTGTGTATGAAAAAGTTCATAAAAATTAGTTAACTTATTGTCTAGACTCTACAGGGTGGTGGGTGGTCGGTGGTCGCTGTGCCCGTCGGGGCAAACTCGTACTAGCACTAGCCCGCGTGCAAGGGTACCGGCGGCGGGTTTGTAGCCTTGGCGCCTTATGGTCCCGAGAGAATAGGCAACCCTTCCGCACGGCAGTATACGCATTTGCTCCATGGGGCACAACAACCACCCTGTATAGGCAGGGGTAGGCAAAGGGTAGTGAGCACAGGTAAAAAAAAATCACACTTTTCCAAGGGTGCTAAAAATCTTTTAAGTATAATGCCTCTGGAAATGAACGAAAAAGCTACAAACAATTCTTTAAATCGTGCGCGCCTTTTAACGGCGCGACTTCACACCTTTGTTTTCCGGCCTATAGGCGCAAGGTGGTGGTATGGTCTATAAATCACACGTAAGTTGTGTAGCAACTTCGCGGTCTTCGCCCACTCCCGCCCATACTCCCGCCCACTCCCACTATAGTAGTGTCGGGTGAGCCTCAGTGTTGAGCAGTGCCTCCAAAAGGGCAGGCCATTGCGGGCTGAACGCATTTTGCTCGGGCTTGCGGTACTAACCAGGAGCGTAGGAAGATCCTGAAAAGTGAGAGGGCACGTCGTGTGGGTAGCCTACCTTTCACGGGCGGGGGGAGGGGGGGGGCACGTGCCCCCTCGGCCCCCTCAGCTCCTACGCCCGTGGTACTAACCCACCGGGACGTCCCCCCCCCCCACTCGACTCCTTAGGGTAAAAATGCCCCAGGGGATTAATACCGGGACCGGGGTAGTTTTTAACCACCCCCTCCCCCCAACCCCAACCCGTATACTGGGCGGTAGAAATCTCAGATAAATTTTCTACCGGGGGGTATTCATCCCGGCAAATTTAATACCTCCTACCCGTATATCGGGGGGTAAATACCCGGGAAATTTAATACTCCCCTTACTCGTATACTGGGGGTATTAATCCCTGGAAAGTTTTATACTACCCCCCCCCCTCCATTCTGGTACACCGGGAGTATTAATAATCCCCGGAAAATTTTATACCCCCCTTACACGCGGCTGCTTGGTTTCCAAGCAAAGATTCCGCGCTCCAAGCAAAAGTGGTAATTTTCAAGCAGAATGGGGGCTCTGCTTGGAAACCGGCTAATCTGCTAGGAAAACAGGAGCGCGCCTGCTTGGAAAATAGTGCGTTTTGCTTGGAGACAGTATGGCTTTCTGCTTGGAAACCAAGCCGTCTGCTTGGGAACCGAGAATCTGCTTGGAAATTACCACTTTTGCTTGGAGCGCGGAATCATTGCTTGGAAGCACAGGTCATCGTACCATAGCAAACCTTAGAATTAGTACGGATTATTTACTATCTTAAAAGTAAACTTGAAGTTTGGCGAGTCCAAACGCATACGGTACGTATACAATCAGCTATTCAAGAGCCCCTCTCCTCCACCCTCTAGATTGCTCCCCCGGTAAAAACAAAAGGCGCAACGAGGTGACCCGCAGAGGGCCACGACTGTTTCGCCTCGTATACACAACAAGTAGAGTAAAAACGGCTCTTTTGCCCAACAGATCGCCCCTTTGCTCGTTATCATTGAGTGTGTTTCTCTCGGTGGGACGCCTTAACGGGGAATATTGTTCCCCTCATTATTCGCCGGACAAAAGGGGAGGCGGCTTTGACGTCAGCGACGCAAAGAGGATCTCGGTAATTACACGGGGATCGGTGGCGATAGTGGAGCCCGTCGAGTGGCATTTGGACTTCCGGCAAAAAATAATGGGAAGGGGGGGGGGGGGTTGGAGCCGGGGCCCAGAGGCTCCAGGGCTGCCGGCGGGATCCAATTGTTTTCCAAACCGCGCCGGGCGTGGCGTGGGCGCAAAACAGACCAACCGTGAGAGAGGAGAGACAAGCGAGCACTCATCTCATAAGTAATACCCAACTAGCTTATTGGCGGGATTCGAACCTCCAAACCCTCGTGTTCCCAATAAGCAGAGATTCCAAGCATATGACTTCGCGACTGT